GAACTCGTCGTCCCGCCGGTTTAGGTCAGGGGATATTGACACTCGTTGATGAATGTTCACCTGACTGCTAGCGGAACTCATCTGTCCTGACTCTTATGAAAAAGGTCGCGAGTTTGAGGCTCGGGTGGGGCACTACTTGGGTCCTGGGTATGACCGGCTGACGACGGCTAATAAGCCAGAAACGGCCGCATTCCAGTCGCCAGCAATACTATCCGCCTATACGACCAACTGTTACGGCTGTCAGGGCCTCTATCGGGGCCCAAGGCAGAGCAGGACAAATGCGTTTCGTTAGGGGTCGGTGAACGTTCATCAACGAGGGTCAAAAGCCAGACTATAGTTACATGTCTTTTGAGCTGCATGCTCCCTTAGGACAATAAACAGAACAATTGGCATATGATGCCTACCTAGTGTCAGTGAATGTCATTTTAGGCGAAGGCACACACGCTGTTGTTTTCGTTGTTCGTTGTCAACCAGAGAACGCGTCATTCTGAATTTAATGGTTACCCAAACCACAATGCGTCGACAGTCCTTGAAGGTTGCAATGGAACTATCTTCCTACAAATGACACCATCTCGTTTGACTTCGTTAAATTTTCTAAAATTAAGACCCGATCGTAGAGGTAAACCCTTTTCTAGAATGAAGACCTGTGGTCAATGTACTGCTCAGCAAATAGAAAACGTCCTTGACTCGAGTTCCTACCTAAACAAACTACTTGATCACGGCCTCTCGTTAGTAAAGCGCAGATTTCTTACCCCTTTCTTAATTATGTTCATAGTGAACATTGGAAAATGCCTCCTAGTCCCAACGGGGTGTACTAATACCTTGCTAATTTACTTCGAGCAAGATCGTTGTATAGCTTTCTTCTGAACCATTTTGGTCGGCCCTGCTTAGTTCTGGAAACGATTCTGTTATTAAAAGCTCACTGTAGGACGATCTTTCCAATATTATCATTATGTTCCATAGCAGAACTTGCACAAAACAGAGTTTCATTTGGTGATATAGTGTAGTAGATTATTTCGATATTATGAACCATGTGATTTTGTATTTACGTACTTTGTACTTTTTGCGGCTGCGATCATGACTGATCTAGCCGGCCCCGATGATAGCCCTCATGGTACTTCTCCATGCCTAACGATCTATGGCAGCAGACCTGGATAGTTCGATCCATTCTCTTCACCAGCGCCGGAGAACGTGTAGCAAAGGTCAAAAAACCGTCAGGACATGGAAGTGGTTCTTGTACCTTTGGTATACGGTCTCCGGCGCTGGCGAAGGGAATGGATCGAACCGTGCAGGTCTGCTGCCACGGATCGTAAGGCATGGAGTAATATCATGCGGGCTATCATCGGGGCCGGCTAGATCAGTCATGATCGCAGTCGCACCAAGTAAAGGTACCTCAAAGAGTTACTGTAGTCGGTCGACCCAAATCTCAAATTCACGATGGAAGCTAAAATAAATACCTAACTCGCCTTCCTCGATGTCCTTGTGTGCCGGTGTTCAACTGGACTTCTGAAAACCGCAGCATTCAGAAAAGCCCCCAGCACGACGCAATTACTACACTTCAACCGCAATCACCCCATGTCTCACCAACTTAGCCGCGTTTGCCGTGTACGCACGAAACATGTGATCTCGCCTAGACCTAGCATGTTCTTTACTAAAATAGCTCCGATGTGAAGGTTTCAGTAAAAGGCCTTCTGTCTCTCAAGTAATTCGTGAAACAAAAACAATGACTCTAATCGCGTATCTTGCCCTACCCACTCAGATTTCGATTTACACATTTCGCGAGTTAGTTCCCCCCTGCTGATGTCTTCACATTTTACATGCCTGTGAAAAATTCCTTCTCGCCGGAAGGATTTAATGAAAACTTTATTGCATCAAAAATTTTCAATTATTCTGCTGTTTCAAAGCACGAATGCGTTTTATTGTTCCCGGAGCCCATCTCCTGCCGCGCTACCAAAAGACCCTTGAAAAATATTAAACAATTAAGCGAGGTCCATGAGGCAATGGAGATGGTCTTTCGCAAGCGGTATGAACACGAGTGCGCAAAACGATTTTCAGCGGCAAGTCGGCGTCATGCTGTGAAGGCGACCTTGAAACAATTGTTCTGCTTACTATCGCTGCCAAGTTCAGACGCATCTCTTATATGAGGAAGCATTCGCCATGTATTTGTTTTTGGCGCCCGAGTAGAACTATCTAGTGTCTTTTCTTTATGTTGTTCTTGCTTTATGCATCGGTATACAAAACCTCTGGGGTACTCATTGTGGGAAAACAAATCAAACTGATAATTGAGCTCGACTCGGTAGGTTTCTTCGTCAAAGCAGTACCTCTTCGCTCGACATAGCCGACTGTTGACGGCACTCCGACGGCTACTTTATGCGCCCAGCTTGTATACCCTAAGGATAGGGTTGGCTATCTCGATATAAAAAAGAATTCGTTTACAAGATCTCGTGCGAAACTTGTGATACCGTATACTGTGGCCAACGAGGACAGTCCGTCTCCACACGCATCCACGAGCACCAACTGGCAGTGAAGAGATGTGACCATTTATCCAAAGTGACCACGCATAGCCTTGATTCAGGACACACCTTCGAGTGGGACAGAACACGCATCTTCGGAGTTTGCCCCTCCAACAAGGCCGAGAATTTATTGAGGCCATGCGCTCCGCTGATTAATGCATCAGCCGACATATCGGGTCGGATGGAATGTACAAACATCTCAAAGAAAAATGGAAGAGACGAGAGCCGATCGATACAGACTGACGCAAATGACAGCCGCCAATTAGCGCCTACACAAAATGGCTTTTGATTTTTTCAGTACTTTTGAAACTTTAAATGTTCGTTGCACATTTTTCTCAAGCCTGAAGACGAGCTGGGGAATCAGTCTCGAAACTTTACTGAATAAACTTACCTTGTTGACCCACAGAACATCTTCGATTTACCTTTCGTAGAATACCTGATTTCCCATTGATACGAACAATTTTTCCTGCCTGTTATCGCTACCAGGTCCCCCGAGAGTCATCTTTTTCAAGGCATATCGAGGAATTAGGTTAGGTGGTTTGTGGAAGGTTCTTTTTTCTCTGAATAAGAGCCGCAATCGTTCGCGCTCCGACTCAAACATGTTGCTTTTGTTGAATCTCAATGATAGCGATTTTGCAGCTCTATTTCACCCGCCTGTGACTTGTTGTTTATATCTATTTGAATCCGTCTCTATTTGCGAACACTACTCGTTTAATTACCTTTTGTGTCCAACTATTATTTTTTCCTAGTTCACGAACACCAAAACAGCGTGATATCGGGGGAGGGGGGGGGAGAGATTTGGGCGCATGATATTTAAGCAACCGTCAGAGGTGCACGTCTGTCCTAGGTTCTAATGCTCTACTATTTTCTCCCTCCCTGCCCTTTCCATCAGCGGCCTGTCAATTGAACTGTCCGTGTTGACACCAACTCTGTCGGAGTGCGGCAGGGCGGCAGCAGCAGCCGACAAATTGTCCGCCGAGGTTCAACAGTCGGAAGCGGCTGATGAGCTAATCGCACCGCTGCCGCCAGATAAGCCTCCTCTCCTCCTGCCCCTCATTTCTTCAGTGCTTGCCAATGACTCCGCTACTTCCCGGTCTCTCGTGCCGCCGCCGGCGCCGCCTTTCCCAGAAGTGAGTTTTTGTGTGTGTTTGCATCTGGTTTTCGGTTTGTTTATCACTGCCAACCGACGCATTTAGCGGACACACTGCGTCAGCCCAGTACGTGTGTTGTGTGCGTAAAGTGGCTGATAAGTGGACTGGGAGTCAGGCGGTGGCTCCGGCGCCAGCTCCTTCTAATCCTCTGGTTATATGAATCCTGGTTTGTCTCAAGGGGACCAAGAGGTGTTCGCTGGCATTGTCAGTCACTGCGCCCATCCCACCTCAGGCGAAGGGTCAGCTATGCGTCGGCTTTTTGTTGGTGTTGCAGGAGAGGGTGAGGTCGATCTTTAGCACATTTCTTTCCTCACTATAATCAACCTGACGCGCTCGAAGCTATCACGGTGCGGTACAGGCCGCGGCTTAGAGGGTTTCTAACTGGCGGGATAAATTGGGCATTGCAGTC